TTTAATTTTGCCAACTTCTGAAATTGTTTTGCTTGAATAATTACATGATTTTAGTTATCAGCTCAGATAATGACAAAGCGAGGTTATAATTTTTATACTGTAAATACGACAAAGGAGACACGACTCAGAAAACAAGAAGGTAACTGAATAATTAATATTTGGTCAACTAGTGCATAAAAATTAGTTAAAATATTTGACGCTTTATCAGTTACAGTTACTTATAGTTTTTAGATAGGCCAATGATATTAGAATTAGTTTACTTTACTTTACTGTGAATACACAGATGAAATTAACAACTAATAAAGAAACGTACAAACGCAAGTATATAAAATAAATGTAAAAGTTCAATATCCTTTTAAACTAATGAACGTCATAAAAATTAGTTAGTTCCACTATTTCTATTTCAGACGTTGAAAAAGGCGAGGATACAATACATGTTTATAAGGATGGATATAAAATTGAATATTTTGGTGTACGAGATCCAGAAACCTTTGTTTCATGGCTTATGGATGTTTGTATTTCATTTTTTTAATTCAGCTTTACTGTGCTACCTTGTTATTTCTATTAACATGTAAAAATGCATTCCAAGAATTAAATACATGCAATTACTGTGATTTGATTTCATTACGGAAGTGAACTTACTCACTTGAAATGTCATAACTTTTGTCATTTCAACTCTAAATGCCATCTTGTATACACAAATGAATTTTGACAGATTAATTTAACAGATTCCTGATGATCCAGTGACGATAATAAATGATGAACATGATCAGGAACAATTTAAAGCATTAGAAGATGATGTTGTGAGAGTAATTGGTTACTTTGAACCAGGCAGTGTTGGTTGGTTGTTTAAGACTACATTACATCTCGTTATTATGTCTAATTTGTGGATTAACATTTATTCTCAAAAATGATATCTTTTAAATTCTGAATTTCACAGATTTCATGCATTTTTCAAGCAAAAAGAAGAAACGGATATCATTCAAAAAATTCATTACTTTATTTTTCAGCACTTAAGGAGTATGAAGAAGCAGCTGAAGATTTTATGGGTGAAGTGGAATTCTATGCCGTTGTTAATTCCTACGTTTGTGATTATCATCATATATTGTCAATTAAAAGTGAAAGTGAAGTGAAGTTAGCTTCAAGTAGTACTGTCATTGGATTAGAATTTTTTTTTTAGCTTCAGCAACTTTCACCACTATTCATTTTCAAAATTACATTTTGCTCAAAACACATTGAAGTGAAAATATTAAGTAATGATTTTAGTGGGCTCGTAAAATGGGATTAAAGCGAGTTGGTGAAGTTCAAATGTTACGACCTTTTGAAGATGATCCTATTTATGCTCCAACATCTGTCGATACTGAGAACGAATTTGAAAATTGGGTTGAAGAACACAAGGAACCCGTGATGCAGAAATTAACACTGCAAAATTATTTCAATGTTTGGGTAAATGATATATAAAAATTTTGCTGTATAAATTTTTCGGAATAAGATAATATTACTAATAACTTGTTGCAGAAAGATCCAGAGGAAGACGAGAAAATGATAGTTGCTTTCTGTGATGAAGAATCTCGTGAAGGTCGAGCAATGTTCAGATTACTTAAAAAAATAGCTGATGAAAATGCCGAGCATGCTGGTACACTAGAAATTGCATTGATCGATCCAGGTAATCTTGATTCCTTTTTGCTGTAATTTGTGACTGTATTTTTGGATAGTTTCATTTTATTTTTCCAGCATAAAACTCTTAATGCTGTTAAGTAAATGATACTACTTCATAATTTATTCCACCTATTTTTTCCAAATTTTTCTTAGCTATGACTTAATATCATTAAAGATGAATTCCCATTGATGGTAGATGTTTGGGAAGGAATGTTTGGAATTGATATCGAGGCTGGTCCACAACTGGGCCTTGTGGATATTTCGGATGTATGTCTTATCTTGGTATTCTCAAATAATATCGTGGAAAAACATAGTGAAAAGTGAAAAAACTTCACTCATTGTGGTTATTATTAATATCAATATTATTATTATTTTAGAAAGAAGGAATATGGCTTGACATGTCACAGTTAAATCTGGACGATCCAAAAAAACATCACGATAGTAACTTAGAAGTTTTACAGTCATGGATCGATCAAATTATGAGTGGCAATATTTCCTTAGATGGTAAATTCAGTTTTATTTTGTCTAGTTTTTTCTCCTCTTAACAAATTATGGATTATTTTTCAGACGAAGAAACTGAAGAAGAAATTGAACCAGAACCAGTGAAAAGTACTACGCCTCCAAAATCTAAAAAAAACAAAAAGGAATTGTGAACATTGGGTAGATGGTAACATTATGCCAAAATTAGTAAAATCTTAGTAATTATTATTTGTAGATATCTAGATAGTATATTTTCTTGAAAAAAGGATTAATTTTGAAGGCAAAATATTATAATTAGTGTTCAATGCAGCAAATATAAATTCAGTCACTTTCAGTTTTCATATAAAATTATGCATTTCAATTTATATTTGGTACTGTTTTCAACTAATTGATTGGTATGTAGAATTAATTTTAAAAGTTTAGTAACTTAGTTTTTTATAGTAAAAGAATTATTTCAGAATGTGTTTTGTCAAATTCTCTCATTCACAAATAATTTGTATTTGCTTTATTTAGTTTTTTAAATTCTTTTGCATAATTTTGCATGCAGTTTATTGGTACGAAATGTTATTTTAATTGATGATACGATGATGAGTACTGTACGTTGCTGTGAAAATATGATGAATTTAGATTTTTTTGCTCAAATAACTTTTTCAGAAATAAGTTTTTTTTTATTCATTTATTTCACGTGTAATTTTTGTCTATTTAATCGATGTCGTTTATGTGTATTAATTAAATAAAACACTTTTAAAATTTGCTGAAGAGATCATTGGAATATATTAATGTGCGAGTAGAATAAACTTGATATGATGAATTCAGTAACATGATTTGTTTATGTGAATAAGTTCTAGATTTAATTAGAAAATTTTAGAAATAATATTGCTGCTTATCGGATAGTTTTTTGAGTATCGAAATATGGTTTGTTAATTATTTTAATAAAATAACTTTGAACGTGGCATATACTTATCGCTGTACGTAAAACATGCTTCATTTTTCTAGGAAAGAATTATAGTTCTACGACTATCTTATTATAATTTTGCTTATTTTGTCCAATTCTTTGCTGTAAAAGAAAAACTTTCTAGACTTTTTTAGTGGTTTTGAAAGTAAGTGATTTTTTCCTTCTTTAACTTACATTTCACCATATTATGATTATATAAAGTGGCAGAAAGAGTAGTAATTAATTGGATAAAGTCTTCTTGCGAAACTATAGCAAGTGAATAGCTTACTGAAAAATAAAGGTTATTATTTTTTGAATAAGACTATATGTATAATTTGGTATTCCCTATGTCTTTCTTGACAGATGTAGTATCCATGACTAAATATCAAACTTATATGAATGAACAATTAGAACTGCTTAAGATTTAAAAATGTTTATTTTACTGAACAGCAAACCGACTTGTCTATTTTACTAAAATATTTGAATTACTGGCAAGTCCACTTGAGTAAACACACACTATTTTAATTCAATTACTTACTAAATGTTGCTGCTCTTTTAAAATATACCGAATAATGTAGAAAGCATAATCTTAGCTTATACTGACAGTTTGTCACTAAATTGAACTAAACTAAATAGTTCCCAGTAATCAAACAAGGTAAGTTGAGATATTAAAGACTTATCTCGATAGAATATAAGATTTTATGATTAAAAACTATTTGCAATATTTCCATTGCAATTTTTTGTTAGGATAACTAAGCCATCGACGATATTTGTATGCTATAAATCAATTTCTCTTCGATCTTGATTCAAGCGATTTTTAAGGTATATATTGCACTGTAAGTTTTTGCAAGCTCAACTATAGCGAAATGGCAAAATAACTATTTTACTGTACTAATTGTATTTAGCTTTATTTCGGTATTTATATTATTTTTATTTGTTTCCAATAAATTTATATGCATGTTGCTCCTCAATCAAATACTTGTCAATAACAAGGAGTATCGTTGAATTCTTGTCAATGTATACAATAAATTGGGATCAGAATATTTGCTCAGAAAAAAATGGATAATATATGTAGTGAAGACATATAATTAGAATAAAATACATAATAAGGTGGCCTCATGAGATGCTGCATTTATTGCTTGTTGTTAGATACGACCAAACATTTACAGAAAGAAAAGTGCATGCTTCCACTGCTGTTGCATGAAGCATTTTTTTAATTTGAAAATCAGAAAAGATCTATACTTATGAAAAAATGAGTTAAAATAGAGTTTAAATTCATAATAAATAAAATAAATGTGCTAAAAACGACAACATTGATCAAGACACGAAATGTGATTCAATCATAAAATATATAGATTCTGCAGCTTGTAAAAGTTGTGTGATAAAATTGATATCACACAGCTTCTGCAAGCCATGACCTTAAGCTGTTACCATGCAGTATATGCAATTTGTTTAAATACGTATTTATATCAAGCATGGAATTTCAATTCAATTTATATGTGTTCTTCATTCTCTACAGTTCAAATAACTGCCATCTAAAACCCTGGCTTATACATCCTAATGCAGTGCTACCAAAATATCCCAGCTTATCATTAAAGAAAAATCTAAGAATAATTAGTGAATGAATGAATAGAGCATTTGCTGTGACTGTTAACTATTTTTACTTCTCCGTTTTCGATTACACAGGTAATATTAATTTGCTTATATCGGCGCTCGTAAAAATAAGTAGCTTTCAAGTTGAAATTTAAACGCATTACAAGAAAGCAGATGTCAAGTAACTCATTTAAATGGAGCAAGTAACTCATTTAGATGGAATTTGCTACATAACGAAATAGTGGGACCACACAAGAAGTTTTCGTTCTTCTTTTCTGAAAACCATTAGCACAGTAGAGCGAACATCATGGGTGGTATTTTCTTTCATGTCCGATAACGCGTGAATGAATAATTGGTAACTATGAGTAATAGCTTATTTTTTAGGAACTTCAAAGTGCAAAGTTGATGAATATTAAAATATTACACAAGTTCAAATTTTTATAACTTTTCGAACATAAAATATCATGTAAGAGCGTTTAAAAAATCAGAAGTTGCTCTATTAATTTTGCATTTATGTTTGGCATGTCAAAGGTTTTAGAATCCTACAGTCTGGATACCGTCTTTAGCGTGGGCATCGCTTTTGTAGAACGATTTTGATCGCTAATATTATCAGTGAATTGAAGAAAGACTGGTGTACGAGTGGACATATGGGTGAATGATTGAACTAGTTAATTAATTAATTAGTTAATTAGTGAGTGAATAGAACACTTGCTGTGACTGTTAACTATTTTTACTTCTTCGTTTTTGATTACGTATGAAGCGCCAGTGTTGTCAAACATTATGGTTTTTCGAAATTGTCCCAATAATTACAGTGCTCATTTCATTGATAAACGCTGGCATATTGAAGATTGTGTTCATAGCAAGCAGTCATATCTGCTGCTAGCTGTAAAAAGACGATACTTCTGCTTATCTTTCATCCGTTTTTTTTCCAAAAAAATACCAGGAATTTTACTGGACGACTAGCTGCCAAGTGGTGTTAAACAAATATAACGTTTATTATCACTTAATATCGTGGCTCGGGCAAGCGTTTCGAATTTATAAATCCTTACAAGCTTTACATATCCATTTTTAAATATTTGTATTAGAAGTGCCAAATTAAAATTGTAAAAATGTCATCATGCAGAAAGTATGTGAATTTTACAGACTTCAAAAATATTTAAGAATTGTTTATTTGCAGTAAAGAAGAGTAGTGATTTTTAATTAAAAACAACTGTCGTTGCAAAGTAAGGAATTTTAGAGCATCGTTAATTCAATCACCTTTTCATTCATTACTTGTAATAAAACTTTAAAAATCAACAGAATCTAAATTTTTTTAAATCTTTTTTTTACATTGTTCTGTTGAGCTTGATGTCATTTTCCGTGTAGCGTTCCAGGTAAATTTTTACTCTCTGATTTGATTTATTATGAAGAGACGAGCAAAGATTTGAAAAAAATTTTACACAAGAGTTCGTAGGTTATACATCAGTAATAACATTTCATGAAGTGAAAATTACTTTTCTTTTTTTGAGGGATTTTAAACTTCAAAAACGAAATTAAGAATAAATCACATCAAAAAATGAATTGAGGAGCCTACATCCTGAAGCAAAAGTGAGAATTATTGCGAATTTATTACTCATTGAACATTTAGATATTTTAAAAACCATTCTTGATTACGTCTACCAACCAGTCTCAAAATGTTTTCATATTAACTATCATTACAATTCTTCCAATTCTTCATGACTGAGTAAAATTTCTACAGCCAGCATTATGGTTTACTGCGCAACTATTTTGTAAATTTATTTCTTTTTTGTCTTCCACCTTTTTAATCATAAATGCAATTATGCAGTTTAAGAGAAGTCAAGAACTGAAATTGCTATTCAAATATTATTCAAAATTCGAATACTACTTTTGAATTTACCATTTGCTTTGAAAGATTTTAATTAGTGCAAGATCAAATTTGTTTGATCAAAAAGTTACAAAAGATTTGTAATAAAGTTTAGCATTGAGAAAAACCAGCAGTAATGAATGTAACTTATTTTTACTCTGAAGATTGTAATTTTTTTTTAATTTAAAAATTGTTTTGAAACGATTCTCTCTGGATTCATTCAAATTGCGCAATATATTTACTGAATGATCAGCACTGATCTATAGTTGCAGATATAGACTGCATTTTCTCCCCAATTATCAGTTTTATATTCTTGTAAAAGATCTATCTTATATTTCCAGTCTAATTTTTTCTTTTTAATCTCTTCTAACTTTTGTGAGCTTTGATTTACATTTCATCTCTTCATTTACTTAACAAAATTTTTACACTAATTAGATATTATTGTAATATATCGCAAAATCTCGTACTGCATTATTTCCTTGTATTGTATTTGCACAGTATTCTTACAATGCATTTATTTGGTAGTTGCGACGCTTTCTTATGAATAAAAAGATTGCAGCGCCTCAAGAAAACTTCAACAGCCACTATCATCGAAGTGAAACTGTTTTATCACTACTATGTGCTATAATTTCCATGATTTTATCTGAAAAACATCTTGAAGACATCATAGTAATAAACACGAATGTAACGTTAAAAATTTATTCAACAAAATGCTAATCTAAATATAATCAACAATGTAGTGTTTAATATGTCTTCTAAGCTGCAATATGTTGTTTTCGTTTTTCTAGATTTTCTTGATACTCGTTTTGTGATAATACTTTGTGAGTAATTTCTTTACTTCTTCAGGAACTGCAATCTACGTTTTCTTCTTAAAAGCATAAAAATTCCATTGTTTGAAATAACAAATTTGTGTTATCAAAAATCCTTTATTTATTATTCATTTTATCTATTTTTTTTGGTTTGAATTCATTACAAGTATTGTTTAGAAATGTTTTCACAGTATGAGGGAGTAAGATAGATTTTAATAAAAGTATTAGTAGTAAGAACTACAATTGAATGCAAAAAATTGTGTACTTTTTTTTTAGTGGTATAGAATGCTCAGGAAAGAGTAGAAGTTGAAATATGGTTTTTAGAAACCAGATTGTTTTAGATGAGTGAGGCATTATTTGGGTGAGAAAACAAAAAGATATAAAATATTTTTGCTTATTACAATAAGCTTTCACTAGTTGCTGATTTTCTGGTGCTACACTTCAAGTGATGCACACAGACAGATAGATGTAAATACTTAAAGTTCTCGCTCAAATTCTTATCGATAGCAATGATAGATTTTAGAGTTAGAGTTAGTAGTCGAAACAGGTTAGATTCTTAGACTCGATGTCATATGCTTATTGGTATCTTGTTCAATCCCTACTATTAGTTAAAATATGAATAACTCTAACTGAAAAGACAAGATTTTGCCGTCAAAATGCTCTGATAAGATTTAGAGTTTCTACATAAGCAATATAGTAAACACCCATTTTCTTTTAGCTGTGTAAAGTAACGTAAGCTAAATTTTGTTTAGCTGAGAAATGATGTTATCCTTCAGCTTGCTAGAGAGTGTAAGTGCTAGAGACTTCAAGTTTTCAACGCCAGTTAAAAACCTCCAGGTTTAATACATCGTACATTCTGCTTGTGCCACATTGGTTGCTCATCGTTCGTTCTTAGTAAACGTCAATAATGGTAAGTAAGTCTACTACACTTTTGTACCAGTTTTGACATGAAATTTGAAATGAAAAATTTGCATCTCTTTATAAACTCTTAAATAGTGTTCTTTTTTTTAATTTCAAGTAGTATTAAATTTCTTAATGTTATTAAAATGTTTATATTTTGATACCATCATGTTTTCAACAAATATAATGGACAAAATAATTTTATAGTCGAAAGCTGCGAAAAAAAAGTCGAGTAAGAAGAAGTCTGGATCTGAAGCTGTTCAGTTTGATCAAAAGACGATTCAAGAGTTTAAGGAAGCATTTGGAATAATGGATCAAAATAAGGATGGCATTATTGACAAGCAGGATTTAAAAGATCTTTATGCAATGATGGGACAGATTGCATCAGACGCACAAATTGAAGCGATGATTAAAGAAGCTCCTGGACCAATCAATTTCACAGTTTTTTTGACCCTATTTGGCGAAAGGTTAACAGGTAATCTGTTGGTCATCAGTGAAACTGATACATTAAATCAGTTACTTTTTCGTGGATTTCATTTTTTATCTCATAATTATAGCATAGAGATACGACCTTATTAAACTTATATAATTTTCAAAGTGAATTTTTATCAAAAATATGTGATCAATTTTCTAATAATGAAATAAAATTGTACTGCGCTCGCTTTGTTACTTTTCAGAATTGCAATCTCAAATAAGTAACATTGAAAAAACTGAGCAAACACAGATGCTAAAAGGTGTTGTTTCAGGAACAGATTCAGAAGCAACAATAGTTGGCGCTTTTCAAATGTTTGATAAAAGAAATTCTGGTAAAATATCAGAAGAAGAACTGATCAAGATTTTACAAAATAAACGAGGAGAACCTTTTGACGATGATGAAATCAAAGCGATGTATAAGGTATGTATATAAATTATTAGTAAAGGAATTAAGTAATGAAATTATGACTTAATCATTTTTATCATCGTTTATTTTATTTCCTTTTACTTGTCATATACTTACTTACTTCTTTACTCATTTTTTTAAGTATGAATAAATTCTGTACTCATCAAATGTCAATTTAAGCATTTGATAAGTAGGGAATGTTTTAACAATAAATCATTAGCAGCATTATTTTAGCAAAGAAAATGCTAGATTAGGGTTGAATTTTTAAAATTCAAAACATTGACATGTAAGAAATTTGCTGCTAAATCTGAGGTCACTTTCTTTACACATACTTACTATCTTCTTTCTTTAGGGTAAACCACCAATTGAGAATGGAGAAGTTGATTACAAAGCATTTGCTCATCTGATCACAACAGGAGCTGCTGAAGAACTTGCCAAAGCTTAAACAACAATCAAATTCAATTAATGTGCATCAGAAAATAATATATATTACGGGAGCTTTCGTGGAATTTTTATTATTATTTTTAAATAAAACTGAATTTTGCTATAAACGATGTTACTTATGAAGTGCTCCTGAAAGCAAAACTACTTTCAAGCATTTGTTCTTCATAACAATCACATTCAGCTAAGAGCGCTTCTGCTGTCGGATTACTTTTTCATATTCCATTCCTTTTCAAAGTTTTAATTCCATTTATCACACTCACTGTTCATATCTTTCTTAATCACCTTAACATCTGCTACCCTAACCCTTTCTTATGCAACTTCTTGTATGTTTCCAGCGATTGTTATAGGCAGTAATTAAAATTATTATTACATCACAATGAAAATTTCAACCATTTTATCGTACTTGCTTCAAAACAGTAAATTCTTGCATTTACAGTTTTAAAATCATTAGTACTCGTGATCTGGCAGCTTTCGCGCACAATTCTTTTAATCATTTTGGGTAATCGATCTACTTTCGTCCACTTGTTTACTGTGGTAGGCCTAAACTTTATATTTTATCCCTTTCTAAAATGATCTTTTCTTTTCTAGTGGAATCTGTAAAAAACGCCAATAAATATTTTATAATAGCGTAATAAAGTTTCTTCTCGATTTAAAGCAGCACTAATTAAGCCTCTGGAAGAGAAGTCGTTTCACTGTAACAGTTTATTATAAGGATTTGAATGTGCTCGTCATGAAAATCATTTTGAGCCATAAGTAGAATGCATATATTAGTGTACTTAGCCAAGTTTAAAATGCCAAAACCTTCATGTGAAATATTGAACATGTATTACCATAAAGTAAACTAAACTGCTTACAGTTGATCATCAAAACTAAACATTATCTTACAGCTCCATCACCAGTCTTTCCTTTCTAACCAATCTCTTGATTCTTAAAAATTATAGACCTATAAATTTTACGTACATTAAGAGACATTCATTAAACATCTTCAAGAAATTCAGGTGTAATGTTTTGTGGTAGCAGTTTCCACAAATATAAAGGACAAAAGTAATGATAAGAAGAAGGAATTGAAGAAGTAAGTGTTGCTATCTGGAAGATTAAGCTTGGCCAGTCAACAAAATTGTGAAATGAAAAAATAATTAGCATAAGCCTTGTCATAATGCACTTCACGTGAATAACGAGCTAACATCTCTATCACAATTCCTATCATTTCACAATGTTTTTTTAACAAATAATTTTCCTCATAATTAATGAACACTTAAAAATCATATTTAATAAACGTGTTAGTCAGAGTATTCCTAATAAAGTCCTTTTTTTACTCTTAGTAACAAAAATGATATACAGAGTTTGTGTTCAATTTATTTCAGTTCTGCTACGAAAAATAAGTAACAATGCAGCTAATTCAAATTGAAAATTCAGTAAAATCAACTCTATTCAAACTTGCTTCTCATCACCGTGATTTGAGTCTTTGAGTTCAGAAAGAATACGTTAAATTAATTCAAATATAACAGTTTCAATTGCAGTCAGCTTTCATCCATTCATCTTTTATCAGCCATTGATTCTTTAATTTTACAATTTCAATATAAGTACTATGTAGTGTTTGATGTACATTTTGTTTAATAAATTACTCTTTCAAGAAAAGATTTCCAAAATCAAAAAACTGGTAAAGAAGTTAAGCTTCAGGGCAATATACTGATAAAAAATAACGAACTAGAAAACAAAAAAGCAAAAGAACTTTATCACCGTAATTCTACAATCTATTAACATTGAGAAAGCCCCATAATTTCTATGACGTGAAACCAAGAATAATACGTCTAGAATTCTGTTATCACCTCTTTTTTCTTGTCTTAACAAATACAGTACACGCATTGTTTTTTTGACTTCTGAACCAAGTCTAATCATGACACTTTTTAACGGAGCAATTTCGTGCAACAAATATCTAATATAACTTGACCTATCTTTCGATGAAATTCTATTTGGTAGCAGTTACCTGCTAGCATCTTGTTACGTAGTAATAATAATAGGACCAAAATATTGTTTTTAAGAATTTATATGCAGTCATATGAAGCATCCATACCCGAGCAGCACTGTTGCTTAACATCAACACAGAAACAAGGTGAATACTTGAAAAATTTTGAATTGCAATACTTATAAACTCATTCAGACAAGTAATAATTTCAAATCTCATATTTGTTTTTAGTGTAAAAATAAATTAAAACTTATTCGACTACAATTCCCATTTCCAGTGATCATAACAATATTAGACCTCTCATGGTAAGCATTTCCGATTTAACCTGCCAGTACGAGAAATAAATAGCCATTCACAGAAACATGTGCAACCCAATATTGTATCAACAAAAGGTCACACACATCCCTGGGAAATTACGCTTTCCAAGAATAAGCTTCAAGCAATACCAAATATCACAAACCCTTGAAAACTTCTTTGCAGTACTAACCTATAACTGGTTAATTAATCTTAACAAAAATAACCGAAAACTGTATGACTAAATATTAACTCGACAACTCAGAAATGGAAAAATCCACAATTTGTTTAAATCATATAAACATAAAAACAAGCCCATGACGGCATAGTTCAATACTTGGCATTCCATGACGCCACGCGACACTTCTTCCATAAACATTGATAATGACCATACCAACCCATCATACAACGTAAATGAAATCTTAATAATTAGCCAAGAAATTAATCAAAGCTTGTTATAGTGTTTCGAAAAAAGACAATAAAGAAGATTCTTGTTTCATCATACTTTACACAAATAATAATAAAATTCGTCCATCCAAAAGCTGTATAATTCATAACACAATGTATAATTCATAATACAATAGGTTAGAAGGAATTTTAAAAACATTTGATGATATGAAAACAAGAAAATTTCAAAATTCATAAGAATATAATGCTTCAGTAATAATGAATAATGAACATACGATAATTATCTTAAGCAACCTGACAACCTACAAGTAATACATACTATACATGGAAGTTTAACACACAACTTTTCGCTAGCTACATTCTCCTTCACTTTGATAGCTAAATATTTCTACAAGTTTTCAACAAGTGAAAACTAAAAGCTACCAATGCATAGTTGAAGGTCACGAAATGAAGGCTGAGAATACTGTAGAAAAATATAAGAAGAAAACTTACAGTACAAATTTTAAATACACTTAACAATGATTTTTGTAGATGACAAAATTGAACATTTAATTTGCAATTTAACAATTATAAAAACACATCATTACAAAAATTGGTCAAGAAATTGAACAAAATGATGGACGAAAATATATGCATGAAATCTAACTCAACAAATTTAGAGAACTACATTATTAATCGTAGTATGAATGAGTATAAAAGTATCAATGAACTTATAATGATATATAATAACAATAATAATATATTATTATTACTATGATAACAGTGATAATACCATAGTGATGGAGACCACAGATAAGATTATTAGCAGTACTTTTGCAATTTCAAATAATAAAACAGATGCATCAATGCGAAAATAAAACACTGAGACCTACATACATGTAATGAAATCTTACTTATTAATATGAAATATCTACTACAATTATTAATTTTTCGCAGGCCTAAATTAAGATCAGTGTCTTCAACAAAGACAACACAAAAACACAAAAAAGCGATTATATTTGTTAGGGGATTATCAAACTTTAAATTTTATTCTGCATGATACTAAGTTGTAAATATGTCTACATTATGGATAGAAGTGGAGTAAAATAAATGAAAATAGCTTTAATCCTCACTGTAATCACTTTCCGGTCGAATTTCGATTTCGCGAACAGTTGCGTTAGCCATTGCACCAAGTAAAACCTTAAGCAAAAAAGTCAACACTCAATTCATAACAAACAAGTAATCTCAGTTCTAAAGAAGGGTTAGTCCAAGAATATCGGTGATAAGATTTTAGAAAATGGAAATTTCGTGATTAGCGAGTATTATACAATATCTGAAGGTTGAATTATAAACAGCAAAAAATGAAAATCTTACTTCAGGACAAGAAACAAAAATAAAGTGGGAGTTCCCATATACTCCACAAAGTGCTTTCACTTTCTCTTGCAGCTGAAGATTTGTTGTGACCCAGATCGTGTAAACATTAGCTGGAGCACATGCCAAACACTCCTCGAGCATGGGCAAATCAGTTTCTGAATCACCACACACAAGAATATTGCCATGACTGAGTTTCAACCTCATTTTAGACCTTATCAAACGGATGCCATGTCCTTTGTTGAAAATACGACCCGAAATTTTGGCCTAAAATAAGAAGCAAAGGCATGAAAATTATTACCTTATAAGATGGAACAATACTAAAAGAAATAAAATAAAAATATGGTAATTAGTTGATGCTAGAGGATTTAAAAGGAATTATTCCAAACTTGATCGAACGTGATAGAAAAGATGAGCAAAATAACTGTTTAGAAAAAATAGATGAAAAGAGAAAATTACCGTTGCACTTGTGATTTCTGATAATGCCACCTTTGTGAATATCTTCAGATCGTAATCACCTTCTCGCAACGTTAAAGTTGTTGCCATAGGATCGACTTCATTTACTATTTTACATACTGCTTGATATCTCCAAATAAACCAATATTTTAGAAAAGAATTTGGCTGTCAGTTTTAATAATTTCACTTAAAACACTTCACAGCTGATATTATTTTATATGTAAAATAAAGTAAATACAAACAAAAGAGATGAACGATGCTTAGGAACTGAATTGTTCACATCTTGGCGAGCAATCGTAATATGGCCATAATGTCTCTGTAGACCAGAACCAATCCAAGTAAAATTACGATATTCCGGTTGTTCAAGCAATTCTTCTAACTAAATATACAGGATGCAACTATCGTAGATATAAACACATACTTTCACACAATCAAATGTATACCTTTTCAAAGACATTGGTTAACAAAGCTAAGTCAGCATCATTAACACTATCATCTTTGAACTGCAAAGACGGATTTAAGTACCATTCACGACCAGCAGATGCACCATACGCATAATAACCTCAACAAATATTTTATACAGACACATCATTTTGAAACTTCATCAAATACTCTATGAAATCTATCAAAAAAATAATTTTTAAAACAACCAATGTCTTAAACCTTCTGGCATTGTGCTAACGTTCAATACTCCAATGTGCATCAGTGGTGCTGTAGTGAGAATAGCACAAAACTGAGCACAACGTCGAGCAAATTGTGCCTAAATATATTATAAATAAGAAAAATTACCATGTGCTACGAAAACTTGAACTCGGAGTGGGCGAAAAATAAAGAGATGTCAGCTTACATAAACTCCAATACTTCGAAAAAAAATGGCAAAATCAGAAACTGGAAAACTTCACTTGAATGACGGCAGAATATGCTGGTTGAACACTAGCAGAATACGAGCATGAATAAGACTTCAATGTACCATCACGGTCGGTGAAAAAATGTTGAAAATGATCTCCTTCAACTAATAGGGCAAATGTTTTAGTTACTTCATCAACAAAAGCTGCTTGTCCAGCAGGATGATAATTTCCAAGAGTCTGCAAAATCATCAAAGAATTTAGTGATGGGAAGTTAGCGAGAGAACTAAAAATTGATAATAATTTCAAAATCAAAGCTAACCATGACGAACTGTTCTACATTTGTAATTTCGTCACTCTGAATAAATTTAAGGAACTCCAGATCTTTCTCTAGTTCAGCGAGCTCATTTGTTATATCAAATTTTGCGGTCATGTTTTGGCTACCTTCATCAGAATCATCTCCAGCTGTTGCAGTTTCCAAAACCAAAAAGTGCGTACCAGGTATACAAGAGTTCTCAAGCGCTGCCTGTAATAATTTACTTTTTCGGCAATTTCAAACATTGGGAGAAATTTGTTAACACTAGTAAATATTTATCAAAAAAAAAAAATGCTGCAAAAAATGTACTTTTGTCCTACATTTATAACTAAGCACCACAACCTTACTTTGGCATTTTCAAGTGAAACTGAGAAATGCTCTCGAATCGCAATACCCTTCAAAACTCGTTCTGAAATTTGTCGACGAACTTGACATGTCTTCTGCATTAGTTGGTAGAAATCTGCCAAAAGTTTAACCTGAATACCAATAAATTTATTGCAGCGTTTTATTTGAAGCAATCATTAACTGAGAAAAATTGAAATCTCGCCATCTGAATATAAAGTAAAAAACTTAAATTCAAAACACAATTAAAGAACTCAGTGCATCGAATCAACAAACCTCAGTAAGCCGAATTACTTCATGAGTCCAAGAAGGATCTAGGAAAGCTGTACTCCACTCATCGATATCATGACTCATTAAAAACTGATTCAAAAGAATACCGTGACCACGCCTTTCTTCAAGAGATTCTGTTGCAGCCTTGTAAAAGCAGTCGGCAAATGCCTAAACTTATCAATTTTGACAAAAAAAAAAATCTTTGATGGCCATAATAATATTACAATAAAAGTAGATAACCTGAATGTCTGTAATAACTATTGATAACAAAAGGCCAAAATAAAGCAAAAAAAAATTAGCGATTCTAACATCAGCTTTTGTAACATCTTCGATTCGATAATAACACTGTTTATCGTGAGCATAAAAACCGGCACTACCCAACTGTACTTCAGTTCCTGCTCCAGATGAAAGAATTAAAGCAGCTCCAGGATTACAGATCACCATTTCTTTCGCCACAAGATTCATGCCATCTTTTATTGGTGTTACGACACCAACATCCATAGCAAGATAATGAGCCACTAATTTTGCGCGCGGTAAACCTATAACCAAATAAAAACGAAATAAAAGTATGAAAATATGAGCATTAAAACGTGTCACAGTCTTCATTCATCCTCCGAAAAAAATAACAAACCATCCATTGTAAATTTAATCGGTTTCCAGTTGGGATATTCTTCACTTCTAAATGTCTGATTTACTTCATCAACTATTTTTTGACATTTGTCTTGGTAGATTCGATAAGATTTTACAGATCGTCGGTTTGTGACTGCTACTTGATACAAGAGATCCAACCCTATGCGCTCTGGATATTTCTCGAAATAACGCTTCCAGGCCTAAATGTAGAAGATTGACAGCAGTGAGAAATCTTGAATAACGAAAATTAATGCTTAGTATTTTATTTTCTATACTAGTTTATAAGGAAACCAGACAACACCGAATTCACAATATTTTGCTTTGTGATTTCCAAGATACATTAGTTAAAAGAGACAACGCAATGTTTTCTTTATAAAATTAAGTACCTTAAGCTTTTCAACGATGCCTTTCGTATAATCGAATCGTTCCACAGAAAAAAATATGCATCCTTTACTTGATCCAGCAGAAATTAGCTGAAATTCTAATTACATTGATATAAATTCGTAAAAAAAGATATAAATTGATATAAATTCGTTAAAAATTATCAATGCTTTGAACAGTAAACAGCGAAAATCACTTCTTTTCGTATTTCGGCAGCAAGATCTGTAGTTTCTGGCTTTTTGACGATGTTCAAAAAATCTTCATTTTTTATTGATACAGGAAACACACCCAATGAACAAGTGAAATTCTGCAAAAAAATCAAATGAACAACTTTTGATGATAATTTCCCACACTAAAGAAACAAGAAACTATTTATCATTTTCAAATCTGAAATGAATGTTTTAATCACGATCAAATGTACAATTTTTTACAAAGATTATAACACTTCAATTCACAAAAAATGACCTCATGAGTCACCGTGAATATATCAATCGTACTTTCATACTGAATTCGTGCACGTAATACATGCTTTTTCACTAATTCGACATATTTTTGACGATCACGATGAGTTTGAAAACCAACCTATGATAGGCAGTACTTGAATAATAGCATTGATGCCATTTTCTACAAAGATCTATTTGGCATATTAAATACAACTCTGTAAATTTTAAGAATATCATAAAATTTTTGTTTTGTCCAAAACCTAATCTAAAAACCACAATGTGCACTGATGGGAAAAAGCCGAACAAATATCAAAAATGGTAACCCGCTTGATATTTTCCAGCTTTTATACGATCCCAAGGCACAAAGTTAGTTCGTTTAACTGACTTTTGTGAATCGAAGCAAGGCTCGTGTTATTGGTTCTGCAACGATATGATATTTAGTCATCCAATTGTCTGGAGGTTGGAACGGAATGTGCAGGAAAAATCCGACCTAAACGAACCATAGATTTCAAGAAAACTTGTTTAATATCTTTTTAAATCTAACTTAAGAACATCACGTAATACGATTTTACAACCCAATATATCACAACTCACTCTTACCTCTAGATTACTGTCCAAACTTCTCATCATTTGTCCAGTTAGCATAAGGTGATAGTCGTGAATCCAGATGAAATCTTGAGGTCTGCTATTTCGCACAGCATTTATTCCGAACTGATAATTGACTCGAACATATGCACACCAGTGTTCTCGAAGTATCTAATAAGACAAAATATTTTTCAAGATATGTAAACAAAAAAAAATTTTATAAAATGGAAAAAGAACCACTTTTTAGTATGTGATGACTTGCAACAAAATTTTAGACCACAAACTTGTTCATCCTCGTAATCTTTGACAATATATTCCTGTAAATTGTGAAGTGCAGGCCAAAGCAATCCATTACTAATACCGCCATAATATGTATTGTAATCATCCTGATTCACAATTACTGGATTCAGTTGATAGTTTGATTTATTGTAATCATGCAACACCGATAACAATGACATGTCACGCCTGAGCGAAAGACTGATTCACGTCCATCGTGAAGTTTTTTTAATTTCACCAAACGTTGAAATACTGACTCACTCTCTATTATTCTTACCTCGATATTTATTTTCTTGGCTTTTTTTAATAACAATATTCTTAAATTCTGTGATTATACATTAGCAAATAAAATGCTTTTATAACTTTTTCATCATTCTGTGGCAGTCAGGGCAAACGGAATTACAAGCACTAATTTGACCACATCATTTATGGTCAATAGATACCGGTAGTTACTTACTCGACATCTCTTTCATTTTCTGTCAATGTATGTGGTTTTGGATCATCACCCAGAACATGAAAAATTTCTCCAGCATTAGCCTGTCGAAGAAGAGGCAATCCAAGAGAATTTGTAGATGGCGGTGTCTGAAAATCCAGCGTGTTGAGCGTTCCAAAAATTTTTTACAACCTTAATTATTACTATTATGGCACTCTGAGATCATTTTACAGATAAGAGAATATTACATGGTCTTCTGAAAGCTGCTTTGAGGATCCCTGTAAATTCATTCCAATATTTGCAAGCCATATATTCCCTTTATCAACGCTCATCACAGGATCAACACAAGCAACCAATCCACCACTGCCCTGCTGAATTTCCCAACTACCGCTTATTTTACGCTTTATCGATACTGGTGGAGCGTTCGAGACATTGATTACACGCTGCTGAATACAAAAAGTAAAACCATGTAGGAGCTTGCTAAGTTCTATTTTTTTGTAATTCAGATCAAACAGAAACATTAAAATAATGTGGGCAGAATTATTACCAGAGAAAATGGGGATTACAATTATATTGCAACGGTGATGAAAACGCTGGCTTCTTGATTAAGTGTGCAAGTGTATTTGCATGACTAAATTATTATTACTATATTATTTTAAAAGGGCATACATCAAATTTAAGTTACATTTAAATTGCTTCTCTAGCATGCAGTTTCTAAGAATTCAATTCTAATAATATCTAAACTTTAATGAAAGGTGCTTAGTAAAGAGTTCAACAAAAGTTGTTGGAAATGACGATTTTTCAACAGTATCAGTTCACAATTGATTTTATTTGTATTACGTACATTTTGTACTTACTTCCTTCCAGAAACTGTCCAATTAAATATTCAAGAAGTTAAATGCCACGTTCAATTAATTCGTTTTATATGTTCAGTTCACAAGTATGCTGTGTTCACTTGCGCAAAATAAGACTAGTTTTAATCTTATTACTAGATATATTTCACCAAAACATTCGTGATAAATTACAGTAGGCACAAAAACAACTGATTCTAATGAGACCAATAACAAAGTAAAGACCTTGCGGTGATATATATCGATCAATCCAACTCCGGTATGCGAATCGGTTTCTGTTGAATCATCAGTTTCAAGTTCTGATATATCCAAATTTTCGAATGATCCTTGAATGCTTGATCGCCGAGAACTTCCTCGACTACGTATCATCTATTTTTTTCATTATGTATCAAAATATTAACTGATTAATATTATTTGACACCAGGGAAAGAAAAATTAAAGGCACCTGCAAATGTCGATACTTTTCCCCAAAACGTTTAGCATGAATGCCTAACATGCTTTGCCGAATGCCAGGAACAGCTGCATATAATTCCCTGCAAAAAATTAAGCATCTAAATTTATAAACTTTTTAAGCTTAAGAACACTGAGTGATAAGGATATTCAGTGTTCATAAGTTTAAAAATTTATAAATTTAAACGCATGCGAATAAATAAAATTAAAATATGACCGTAAACGACTTTTACTATTGTTGACATCATGAAGTGCCAAAGCAAACAACAAGGCATCGCGATAATGTGTACCAGCTGATAAGTCTGAGTCATAGACAAACGGGATTGCACGACTCCAAAAAGCTACCGAATGATAGCCCAAACTTGTTAAAAAATGATCAAACATTGGATCATACGACTTAGTACAAGCTAAGCAAAATTCAAGAATCATAAGTAGACCCTGAAAAAAGAAATTGTGTTTTTGCTCACTTAAATTTATATAATTTTAAATTATTCGCTGCAATTTTCTTTTCTATTCTCTGATACGTACGATTAGCTATTCAACATTTGAAAATCATCCTACGAACTAGTAATTTTTGAAACCTGAAATGCGATTTCAGAAAATCTGTCTCGTGCTCGCCATCGATTTATAAGATTCAATGTACATTCCTGAAGAAATTCGTTTATTTCATCCTCATTCGGGATAGGCTCACCCATTTTTGCTAGCAATTTTTCTAGCTCCTAAATACAGTTGCAATATAATACGTGAACACATCTCACTATACTTTGTTAGTTACTACTTTTCATGGAACGGAAAAAGCCAAAACACACTTCTCATATATTTTTTATTTTCATCCCACTGATTACTATAATTCTCCGACAGCATGCTTTTAAATAAATTTAAGCCGCAACAGTATAAGTTCATTATTGCTTTCAAATTTGCAAGTTGCTTACTGCATACTATTTACTGCATACTATTCTAACTTTAAACAGTGCTTCTGGTGAAAAAAAGAATATTTAAGAAGAAATTGCTTCAATATATAAGAAATTCTCTTGCTAACTCGTATAAGATAATCCGTGTCATTTTTGAATGCTTGAACAGAGCGCTGAAATGGTTGATCCATCAGAATTTTGAGAGAAGTATGGTCATTTTCCAATTCACTGTTTTCTAAGAGATACGTAGAATCTTCCTGATCACTCGATTCAGGTAGCATTTCGACGACTTTTGTAGTGCTGAGTTTGTTATCCAATTATTTTTACAAGAGTCCAATCGTTTTTTATCGAAGGGTACTGTAATTTCAATGTTGGAAAGTCCACACAAATGGGAAGAAAAGATGTTGAATGTACTTCATATAAGAGTTTACTTTCGACTGCTTGAAAACTGACAACTTTTTAAGTTCAAATATCAGCAACAGAATGAACTCGTGAGATTTTTGCAGTGAAACACAAAATCGTAGGTTCAAAGATAAGATGTTAAATATCCATTGTCGAGAAAGTTTCTGATTATGTCATATGAAATGAAAAAACTGTTCTATCACTTCGTATATATTCAGCGTTATTTGATAATAATCAAATCTCACTCGAAACATCGCACATTTTGAGCGGGAACAATAACAGTATTCAAACTTGACCCCAAATGTTCTCCAATATAAAAGAACATAAGGATGTAGGGATGACATTCAAATCTTACTGTAAGCATATTGATCTAGAAACAGAACGAAAAGACAATCAAGGCTGACCCCAAATGCTTCTTATCTAGGGAAGAAGATATATTTACAATTACATCTACATATTCAGGAAAAAAGATGATGGCATTTATGTTTGACCTTACATGTTCCACAGGTGAGGGAAGGAAGAAAATGACATTCAAATTTGAATTCTGATATTTCTATTCTCGATCGTAGTAGATAGACATCAATTGTGGCGATTAACTGCTGAGATGTGATAAAATGGTGCTGACTGCTCTTGTTTTTCGTAAATTTTAAGTATTTGTGTTTTAATCTGTGAAGTGTAAAGAAAATAGCGTCTTCAACCACGTGAACAGCATGACATTTTCATACGGAGCAAGCACTGATTCTTTTTTTTTCAAACCACAGGATGGTACGGAAATGTCAAATTGTTGTTTTCTGCTTGAAAAACACTAATATGGTTTCTGGTGCTGGAAATTCAACAACAACAAACTTTTGAGCAACTCTCATAGATTTTAAACACGTGAATTGAAATAAAAAGATGATGGAAATTCTCTCCTACCTTGAATCTCACTTGATGATCCAATTCAGAACCACAAATACCATTCCAATCACTTCACACTGACGTTTGCTTTTCTGAATCATCAACTTTTCATTAAACTGCGTTCTTGCTTAGTTGAAATAGAGAAACTGCTGTCCATCCTAGATCGTTTCTACAATTCTATGCGTATCTAACCCAAATGCTAATTATACTCACTGGCTGTTGACTTCTTTTCATCCTTAGCATATTGTAGCAACATTTATCACTATTGAAAGAACGTTATCACAAACTCTCATTCTCTATTTTTGAATGCAAAAATGAGAAAATTTTTGACACAGCACAATAAAAAGCAAATAAATGTACACAAAATTCAGGTAACCACAACAGGGCGATAGGTACCAACAGGTGAATGAATATGTCTCCAGGACAGGACAACTATCATCTATTTATCAATGTCAGCAATCAGGTGACCCGTCTGCTCCTCTCTGTCTCTCTGTTCCCCTCCTTGCCTGCTATTTGTGTTGTTTTGGTACTAGCATGCAATATCAGGTTTTATGGCGGACTAAATTTGCAGAAAATTTCATGAAGTTGCATTTAATCCTTTACAGTAATAAGCATAGGAAAAAATTAAAGTATTAAAGTCTTATGTTCTTTGCTGTAATTTTATATTTGCGCACTTTTTCTCTTCTCTCTCTACCACTACTACTATCGTGTAATCAAATACACGTTTGCTTTCTTCAACTTCTTCACTTTTTTATCGATCACTTTTTAACTTTCTTACTTTCTCTATTGCAAAAATTAGCTTTTCTCATTACAATTTGTTTTCTTTTCCATTCATTCATTCTTTATTTTTTCGCTCACTTTATATCTTTTAGTAATAAATAATAAAAGAAAAAGAAAAAGAAGAAAATGATAGAAAAAAGAAAGTATTGAAGAGAGATTATTGAAGAAAAATTAGAGAGAAAGAGAAGAGAAATTATCGCAAGGAAAATATTTGAATAGATAACAATACTTAACAAAAACAACTAAACATAACGGTTTCTTTTTATCTTTTTCAAAAAAATGAGGGTGGAACATTTTTATTTAGGCGGAGATAAGCGCAATTATGAAGTGAAGGAGAACAAGAAGATGAGAAAAGAGTAGAAGGTGAGGAATTTGCTATTATTTGAGCATTGATCAGAGATGAAAGATTGGAACCTCATCACTACTTTAGGGAGCGAGGGGCAAGGGGCAAGGGGTAGGGGTAGGGGTAGGGGTAAGGGGTAAGGGGTAAAGGGTAAGGGGTAAGGGGTAAGGGGTAAGGGGTAAGGGG